TGTTATGGAGTTATCTACCTGGTATGGGTGTTATGAGATCATTAGAGAGTTTTTACCCTGGTCGATGATTGTGACGTTTGGTGCTGTGTTATTACTAGCTTGTTAGGGTTGTATGATTAAAGCATGATTGGGATTTTTGGAGTAAGTATGTGATTGTTTAGCCGTTGTGGTTACGTAGAACGATGAATTGATAGTGAGTGGATCTCATTATTGTTTTGTGAACTGTGTGAGATTGTGTTTAAAGTTTGGACCTGAGGACAGGAACGACATCTGTGTTGAGACCAGATCGATGATAGGAATGGCCTGGCCAACCATTTCTCCTGAATCAATCCCTCTTAGCATAATGTCGGATTAAAGGTCAATGATTGTTTCGATTTGTCAAGAATAGTGAGAACACATTATTGCGCGTTGTGTCGGTGTGACAGTGTGGATTCGGGTGGTTTGTCTCGGGTGACGAGGTGTGTTAAGTAGGACTAAGTGTCCAATAAAGGGGTTTGCGGTACGATTGTTGATTATTGAAGATCTTGTTTTGAGGATTTGAGTCCTAGGTACAGGATAATACGCTTTATTGTTTTGGTGACTTATGATTATATAGTCGTTGGGAGATCTGTTGTTTAGTCATCTTGAAGTTGTTTAGTATGATGATTGTTGTATACTGCGGTTAGTAGTCGCTGTTGCGGTTATGTGATGGTATAGCTAGGCAGTAGATAACGAGTGATTGGTCTAATAAGGATGTGTAAGTTTGAATTTGAGCTTGATTGTGTGATGGACTGGGTTCTAGTCTGGGGTCTTGTGTGTTCTTTAGTGGATAAGTTGGACTTGGACGTCGTCATGTTTGGTGGTAAGGCGACCATTCTTCTTTCGGGCTTTGAAGCCTTTCGTAGCTGTGTGGAGTAGACTGATGTCCGTTATGAGTTAGGCGTAGAGTCCAGTCGGTTTTTGTGTTGTGTTGTTATGAGTGATGAGTACCCTCATAGGGTGGTGAACATTGGGTATTAGTAGCAATGACATGTGATTGCTTGGTGACGTCCGGTATTAAGGCAATACGTCGGTGAGTTCATAGTCTCGGGGTTTATGTGAGGTTTTCTTGAGAAGGTGTGTGACTGTGAACTTCCTTCTTTAAGGAGGGTAGATTTCGAGGACGAAATCTTTTAAGGAGGGTAGATTGTAAAATTTGTGATTTATATATATATATATATAAGCTGTGGGACCCACCATCACTATAAAACATTACAAATGACTTAGGGTCATCACAGACCCATTCTCATTCTCTCATTTCAGCAGTTTCTCTCGTCCCTCTTATTTTCTTATTTTCTTTTTCTCTTTACACCAATTCAAGCTTGATCTTACCATAACTTTTGGGAATTTGATATTGGTGCTTGAAGCAAAGTTAATGAGCGCGTCAAGAACTTTGTTTTGATCGGAGCAATTTCTAGTTTGGAGCACTCTTGAAATTTCAAATTTTGGGTCTAATTTGGGGCTTTTCATCTAATTTGAGGTAGGGGTGTTCTAATTCACAATTTCTTTGATTCGTTGTGAAATTTTCCTTCTAAAGTTGGTCATAAGCATGCTTAGTTTTAGTTATTTTGAATATGGTGATTGTATTTAGTTGTGTTCATGATGTTAAGTGATGTGGTGTGTTAATTGAGCCTATGAACTTAATTAATTTATTGTGATGAAAAGCATGCTCAATTATAACAAGTTGTATGTAAAATGTTTGTCAATTGATATGTAAAAATTAGGATTATTAATTGTGGAAATAAATGTAAAATTGGGATTATTAGTTGTGGAAATAAATGTAAAAATTGGAAGTATTAGTTGTAGAAATAAATTTAGAATTTCTTCTCAAAATGTGAATATGACGTTGATGGAATGTGTAGAATTTAATTGTTGGATTTGCGAATTGAAAGTATGTAAAATGCCATGATTTGGAAATATGAGAATGCGATATTGTGTGGAAATTCATGTTTTAAAACATACTTAAATGATTGCGGATAATATGTATGAAATTCTATGTTCTCATGGCATTGAAGATATTGCATAATTCATGCATTGTTATTGGGAAAGTAAAGAGAAAAGTTTGCTTTAAAAATAAATGGAATTGTTTTTGGAAATTTTTTTTCTAAAAGTGTTTGCGAAAACCGGACGCCTAGGAGGCGCCTAGTGGTCCGTGGTGTTAGTGTAGTCTAAAGGGGAGTATGGTTGAGCTAACTAGGCTGGATGGGATGCCTTGGAGGTGCCTTGTGGTCATGGATAGTTAGTCAATCCTCCTTTCGTGATGCCTTGGAGGTGCTTTGGGTCGGATTACACTAACGGTTTGGAGGTTGAAACGGAAATATTTCGAAATGGGGAGTGATACGCATGACATTGCATTCCATAGCATGGCATGGTTTGTTACGACTTGGATTATTGTGGTTGATATTATTGTTATATTTATCCCGGTAATGGCATGATCCCGGTTCTTTTTCCTATTCCTTATTTGGATTCACGGGGTCACAAAAGGTGTGTCTTAGGCACCACCTACTGAGTAATTTGCTCACCCCATATATTTAACATTTTTCAAGTCACGGGAAGGAAGTGACGAACGACACTCCTCCACAGGGTTCAATGGGTTAGTGGACTATTTTGACATATCTTGTAATTATGATTTCTTTTTATTATTATTGCTATTACTATTTTTTTAAAACTTTGGAATGACACGTATATTATGTATTGACGTAGGAAAGGATAGTACTGTCCTTAGTTGACCTTGGGTTAGGATAAAGACCTGATTAGCGATTCGGACCCTCGGATTCAGGTCGTTTTAGGTTGTTACCAACATAATATTCCATGAGCTACTTCTGAAGTTCACATAATACTATTATAGTTAATTAATTACCACTAATATATATTGAGAACATCAAAGACACCATAAATAATTCTTGGGAATTCCCATTTAACAGCTGTAAACTTCCATAACGTATAAGATTTACAGAGAATGAAATGATTTATGGAATTTAACAGATATATGAGATTGAATCAACAAAGTGATCATTGTAAATATGTCATATCTACTATAAAGGATAAAGCAATGAAAAAATGAGAAGCTTTGTTATGCACGTGTACTTCACATTGTGAGAATCTATACTGCAATGCTTTTGCAATCGTTATTGGGGTTGTAACTTCTTTTTCTTTTTCTTTTTCTTTTTAAACAGTCACCCAATTCTCTGTAATGAATTTCAGAAGGAGCACTTGTACTTTTTGAAATTAAGGAGCAGTTACTATTGGTCTATCTACATGAGTCCTGGGAGGAAAAGTTTAGAGATACGTTTAAACTCTGGTGTTATTTCAATCAAAATGACCACTCTTAAAATTAATTCACATCCTCAAAGGTCAATTCTGAAATAGGGGAGTCGGGGGTTGGGGTTTCAAGCCCCCTTAGCCCCCCTTCGGATCCACCCACAGAACCAGTACTCATGATATATATCAAAGGTGCACATATACGTAGTGGAAATTCTGAAATCACAAAAAATTGGATTCACTAACACACTGTAATTTCAAAGAAGTTATTTGCGACAGTAATTAATATCCAGAAAATGAAAAACAGTACTAATAATTCAGCAATAGTAATAAAGCAAACTTACAATTTCTGTAATGCTATGTTGATGACACTTTATGGACGTTTTGGATTTAGAATTAAAGAAAATTTAGTACAAATTTTAAACTCAACTTCTTTCAATTCCAAATTCCAAACCACCGTGCTCTCAAACATAGCAATTGACAATGTGTCAAGAAAGTACTGAATGAGATCATCTTCACTTAGGCTTTTCAAACACCATGCAAAGTGGGTGTGGGGGAACTTTTGTTTCGGATTTACTTTTAAAAAATAAAAATGAAGGCAAATTTTGTAGAGAACACAGTCGACATCCTCCTTGCGCGCGCAGACGAATACTTAGGGCAAATTTTTGCAGAGCATGTAGACGAATCCTTCTACAAGGAACTCTCAGTTTCTCTCTCCCTCTCTTCAACAATCAAAACCCATATCGACGGTTGTAGTAACACTGTAGCAGAAGACCATATGTCATGTGTGTTCTCTGTTTCTCTCTCTAAATGCTATTTCAAATCTGATTTTTCTCTCTCTAAACCTATGTGATTGTATCTTTTTCTCGGGTTAGTACTAATTGCCTTTTCTGAGGGTAAGAAGTCCTAATAATGCTTCATTTGCTTCTTTATTTTCCTGAATCTAAATTGGTCTCTTTACCCAGAGTTCTTGAAATGGTAGCCATACTGACCACTTATATTAATTCAGGTGATGATTTAATGCCATTAATCATACTGACAAGAATTAGTTGTTTTTAATTTGGGTAATTGTTCCCCAGTTCCTTTTCGGGTAATTGATGAAACATCCATGACCGTTATCAATTGTCCTTGCAAACTATATTGAACACTAGTATTTAGGCAATTGGATCTAAGGTTGTTTTGGTGTTCATTCATATATTACATGATTGATTAGGAGCATGGTAGTATGTGCTATGAATGTTAGAACAGTGTAGTTTCAGTACTTCCAGTGACGAAGTAAAAAAGATGGGAGTTGACAATATATATATATATATATATATATATATATATATATTGGGTAATTAAGGATTTGAAAATAAATTACAAGGATAACGAGGGTATGACCCCCGGCCCATTAAAGGTGGGCTGAAAAAGAGAGAGAAAAGAGAAATCCACAAAGTGGCCCAACAGATAGGATATTAAATCCATACAAAACAAAGTTTGAACCCAAAAGTAACCCATTGTTGTGGATGTTGTTTGCAAAGTTGAACAACAGAGCAAGGCTCCCAAACAAAATATTACATCAACACAAGCAGCAATGATCTCAAGGTCTGAGATATATCATTGCCATCATCTCAATTACACCCAACTTCTTTCTTGAATTTATTACCTTGGCCATGCATAATCGACAATGGGGTTGCCATTGGACTTAATTAGCTCTTCAAATTGTGGATTCATGCGTGTGAAAAATAATTCGAGATAATATTAAAGGGAAACACAGACGAGTGCAAACCACATAACACAAACCAGTGCTATTTATGATATATCACAGTGTACATTGCTTGGATTCACTCTCAACACACTGTAATTAAAAGAAATTACTTGCGACCGCACTTGAAATCTAGAAAACAGAACAGTACTAGTAATCACTCAACAATAATAATCAACAAAAGTGTTTAGAAGATGGAGAGTACTAAATGAGATCATCTTCACTTGGCTTTTCAAACAACAGAGCCGGGATGGGGAACTTTTGTTTCGGACTTCCCAATAAAACTCATAAATTTGGTTTTGGCATTACTAATATAACTCAAAATTTTGGTTTCAAATTTACTAAATAAACCAGTATACCGAGGAAAAGCCGGTTCAATTTGGTGGATGGTGTGGGTGAAAACTTTGACAAGGTGTATTAGGTAATAAGGCATCAATGAAATTGACAAGACCGTGAATTGGAGGAAGGCGACACTACTTAAGCCAATTCTTGTCCATCGCTCATTCTTACTTATCGGAAGAAATATGGACGCTGCAAATGCCAGCGTTAGCATTGTCACAGCAATTACTAGAATTATAAGTCCTAGCACTAGTTTTCGTGGAAGAGAATGCTTGAAGTCGCTAAAGCGAAATGGGGATGTGAGGATGGACAAAAATACAACTATTGATATGAAAGTGCATGTGAGGGAAAGGGTATCCGCGATGAGGAAAACATCAAAGAAATGTTGGTTGAGAAGAATCGGATAACCTGTTTGTTGATCTAAACCTCCAGGTACTGTATAGGCCGCAGTAAAAGCAGTAGCTGCATTCAGCAGAGCATTAATGGAGCAATTTTGTGCTGTCCCCTTTAGCCACTGCGTAGCCTCCGTCCGAAGATCTTCTTTGTTCTCAACAAATCGTTCTTCAGCAGTCTGCCCCTCATTGTTTCGGAGCAAGTTTAAATTGATTGAATATGCTGACAACATTTTCTTTACAAGCTGCGCATATACATCCATACACAAAAATCACAATTAATTAATTATCTATATATATTGATCAAGAATGTACTGCAACTAGGTAGGTACACGTACCTCAAAGAAGAGCAAATCCTGGTGCAATTGGATGAGGGTTGCGGTTGGTCTTTTCAAAAACCATGGAATCTTCCTTCTTTTCTCCAACCATATGTAGGATGCTATTCCAATGGTAGTCCCTTTTTAGCATCAGCTTGGTAATTGGAGCTCCCATTTTCTCCAACCTATCAAAGATCTCTAATTGTCACTAAATGTAAAATGGTGCACCCATCACCATCTACAAACTCAACTGCCTGAAGGTTCAAGTCGAGTATATCCATGACAATGTCCACACACCCTGCTTTAATTGCCAAAACTAATGGTGCTTTGACGACATTCCTTATCTCTTTGCCCTGTATGGGAGCTGATGATGGCCGTCTTCCATGGTTTTGGGATGACTCTTCCACATGTTTAGTTTTATCCCATGAGTTTTGGGATGACTCTTCAACATGTTTAGTTTTATCCCATGATGGAGCATCTTTCTTAACTAAGATTTTCGAAAGTTTCTTAGCAAATTCATATGTTAGCTTTTCCTGCTTAATTTCTTCCCACAAAGGCACTCTCCAACCCCCTGCATCTTTTGATTTAATTAAACAAAATGAAAGTCAGTAGCATTGATGTGATTAATTTTAAACATGTTGTACTATTATATACCACATACCATATTCTTCTCGTAATACTGGAGTGGAATCTTCTTTGACATGTACACCTGAAAAGCACTTTTCTTTAATAGAATGTAATAGAAACCCTATAAATTAATCAAATAAATATGTAATCAGTTTATCTAATTAAGCCTTTAATTTGTAAGGTCGTGTGAGTTCACGCCTCCCTGTCAATAATTGTATTTGAAACACATTTTGATATGTATGAGACCACTGTCTTTTACTTCTAATAATAAATGGTGAATAAAATAGGCATAGATAAAAGAAAAGGCTAAATGAAAATATAACTTTCTATGAAAAAATGTATCTCACGTTTGTAGAGAAGACGCTTCAGGTGTCCTACATTCCTCGCTTTAAATGCCGATGAACTACATGCAAGATATTGAAGAGCAGTCAACCCAAATTCATCTCTTTCACCAACTAAATAGTCACACCTTTTCGCAATTCTAACAGCCAATTCTGTTCATATTTCAAAGTGTATATATATATATCTATATATATATATATATATCTATATATATTTGCAATGTTAGTTGTAAAAAAGAAAAATTTAGAAAAAGAAGCAGCAACGAATAACAAAACCAGGTAACTTAATTTATAAAGCCGATCAGGCAATTCTATAGCTTAATTATATATGCCAAAAAATCATGCATCATATATACCAAATCCAAAATGCAAGTACCAAACTCAAATTTAAAGCCCGATGAGATTGAAAGATGATGAAATTAGCTGCTAAGAGCCAGGAGGAACTCAATAAAATGCCCTGAGATAATCGCAGTGTGAAGTATGGTGCTATTGTTCTCCTTCTTATAAAATGTAGTCGTGCGCTCTTCTTTACTTGGGCAGCTTCCCCGAACTTCCCTATCAAGAATTGCGAACATCTAAATTTTTCCATAGTAAGCTGCACGGAACAGAGCCGTCTCTTCAAATTTGTTGCGCATACTTAACAACTGGGGTGCCATTTATAGCATTTTCTCAGCAGCTGGGACTAATTTGTTGAAGGCGGCTGCCTCATGGAGGACTGTGTTTCCAACAGAATTTTGAAAGATCAATTTGCCGTGCTGATCCCCAGTCAACATCCCTAGCAATTCAATTACCAAGTCAGCTTGCACAGTGTATGCTGCCATATGTAGTACTGTGTCACCAGTTTTGGTTAGGACGTGCAATGGACCATCTGGATACTTTTCACCGTCTCCGCAGAGTTCAACCACATCTCTAGTTTTTTCCTTCTTTAGAGCCTCGTAAAGCCGAGCATTAGGCTCATCTTCTGTCATACTAACATCATATCTTAGTTCAATGGCAGATTGAGATTGCACCATTTGCCGGATGTACGTGGTAGAATGAGATTATGAAAACATACATAGATACACACGCGTGCTTGTCAATGTCTATTTATATACTGTACATATAGACACGCACAAACAGGTAAAATCAATTCGGTAAACATCTAAGCAAGTGCCACTGTACGTACTGTGATTCCACTTTGGCCTGCTGGCATCTTTTTAAAGTAATTATTCTTACTTCATTTAATAATAAAGTGGTTTAATTCTGACTACTTTGTTCAAATGTGAAACATTAATTTCTCGTTAATGTTGCAATGTTCATGAGGAAGCATTTTTTTATTCTCAGGCCCTCATAACTTTTCTAATGCTAGCTAGAATAAAGTTATATAGGAATAAAGGATATACGTACAGTAATGTAACAGATCGCACTTTTAACTTTCTGTTTATGATATTATTTGACCAAGAAAGCATAGATCTTGTAACTTGAAACAAAAAAGAGAAAAGGATTGAGACATATATATATGTACTAGGAACAAAATGAAGGCTTGGGCTGTTACCAACATAATATTCCATGAGCTACTTCTGAAGGTCACATAATGCTATTATAGTTAATTACCACTAATATATATTGAGGACATCAAAGACACCATAAACAATTTTTGGGAATTCCCATTTAACAGCTGTAAACTTCCATAACGTATAAGATTTACAAAGAATGAAATGATTTATGGAATTTAACAGATATATGAGATTGAATCAACAAAGTGATCACTGTAAATGTGTCATATCTACTAAGAAACATCGTGATGCACATAATTTTTCAGAATGAAATACAAGATCACCTTTTTTCTTGTGCTGGACATGTCAATCTGCAGTTTCTTATCTGTAATGGGTTCTCACTGTAACCTATTTAAAGCAAGTGCCATGATGAAACAAGGAACAGAATTTAGTCCTTAACTTACAACATAATCAAATTTGTCCCTTCACTATCGCTGTTTATGACAAAGTTTTGTACGAAAACACAATGAAAGATTAGCATCGGAAACTAAGATTATTCACAAAACAGAGGATTCCTTAACATCATATCATTTATCATTGTTGCTCATCTATAAAGGATAAAGCAATGAAAAAATGAGAAGCTCTGTGATGAACATGCACTTCACATTGTGAGAATCCATACTGCAATGCTTTTGCAATCATTATTGGGGTTGTAACTTCTTCTTTTTCTTTTTCTTTTTAAACAGTCACCCAATTCTCTGCAATGAATTTCAGAAGGCGCTCTTGTACTTTTTGAAATTAAGGAGCAGTTACTATTGGTCTATCTACACGAGTCCTGGGAGGAAAAGTTTAGAGATACGTTTAAACTCTGGTGTTATTTTAATCAAAATGACCACTCTTAAAATTAATTCACATCCTCAAAGGTCAATTCTAGTGGTAAATAAATAAATAATGCGAGCAAAACAAGGGGCAACAAAATTTACGTCGAAAACCCTACAGTGTAGAGGGCAAAGTCACATAATCCTTTTGAAGGGGTGCGGCTCCCACGCTCCGTGCGTGAATGACGCTCTGAGAGCAAATCCTTCTGCAATTCGTGAATTCAATTTTGTCAATCCTCAAATTCAATTCACGAATTCATAACAATTTTTCATTTGTTAAAATTATGGAGAAATACATGTGACCGTATTGCAATTACCAAAATGTACCTAATATTGAATAAAAGCTGTTAGAAATGTGTAAAATTAAGAATAAACCTACAATATTAAAATAATAATAATAACAATTCTTTGTCATATTATTATCCATTTTATAATTGATCACTTTTGTTTCGTTATTTACTCGATAACAGTTCGAAAAAAAAAAAAAAAAAAAAAAAAAAAAAAAAAAAAAAAAAACTATTCATTTTAATAAAAAGAATTAGTGATTTTGACCTGGTTAAGTGTGTGGGCTGTCCCGAAAATCGGTTGCGGTTGGGTGGTTATATCCGAATGGGCATGGGGTGTTTTGGTTCATCCAAAACATTGCAGCTGTTGGCAGTTCGGGCCTACCGAACAGCACCATGAATACCCGAACATACACCTCTTTGTCTATAAATGTCCTTGGCAACCATTTTTTATTGTTCACTTAGCAAAGCAACAAATATTTTTAGTAAATAGAATCAAGAACAATCCAACTCTAACTTCCCTAGCAATGTGACCTAGTAGACCCTCAAGCACGTGGAAATGCTCCCTAAGTTGTCTACCAACTATTGCCAAAGCATGTGCCACCCCATTAGCAACATGAGATTTCTGCCCTTTTCAGAATTCTGTTTTCTTCTTTCTTCTCTGCATTCTTGAGCCTATATTATGGTTCCGTTTGTTTGAGCGTAAAATATTTTTCTTGTAAAATGTTTTCTAAGTAACACTTTTTCATGTAGAATGTTTTCTTTATTTTTTATTTTTAGTAAATAGAATCAAGAACAATCCAACTCTAACTTCCCTAGCAATGTGACCTAGCAGACCCTCAAGCACGTGGAAATGCTCCCTAAGTTGTCTACCAACTATTGCCAAAGCATGTGCCACCCCATTAGCAACACGAGATTTCTGCCCTTTTCAGAATTCTGTTTTCTTCTTTCTTCTCTGCATTCTTGAGCCTACATTACGGTTCCGTTTGTTTGAGCATAAAATATTTTTCTTGTAATATGTTTTCTAAGTAACACTTTTCATGTAGAATGTTTTCTTTATTTTTTATTTTCCATTGCTTGGCAAAGGTTTTGAAAATATTTTTCAGAAAATATTTTTGGTGTCGACTTCTAAAAGTATTTTTTAATTAAAATCAAAATTCTTATTTGAGTCATTAATTATTCAAATTTTCTCTTACTATCAATTGGTCCAATTTTTTTTATATCAACAATAAAAATATAATCAATTGATTTTTGAAAAAAATGATAAGGAAACTGAAACAAGTCTAATCTCTTCTTTTTTTTCTCCACTTTACATATCACTTTTTAAGGTTTGAGAAAGTAATACTACATGTTAATCACTAAGCCAATAATGATGACAAAAAAATATAATAATAAAAGCAAATTGAATAAATCAAAAATAGGAAATTGTATGATTGTTGTTAAAGAATAGATTGGCCTCGTGCCTCTCGCCCCACAATAGGTATTGGTCTATTGGCTCATCTCTTTCTCTCTCCAAAAACTCTATCTTTATTAAAGGGCTCCTTTCCTTCTCTCTATAGAAGCCCTCTTGCTCTCTCTAAACTCTCTCTCTCTAGACGGCTTTTTGGCCACTATGTAACTCTTCTACATACTTGATTGACGTTTTCGATGCCTTATGCTTTTGTTGAGGAGATCTAGAGTGAAATAGATAGACTCGAAAATCGATTTCCGAAGGATTAATGTGTAAGTTATTTTGGTTAAGTTTTGAGAAATTATTTTTCTCCGTAAAAGATTTTATTTGAATTTGGAACTACCAAACAGAAAACACAGAAAATGTTTTTCAGAAAGTGTTTTACGCTCAAACAAACATAGCGTGTCTTGCATTGTAAGTCTTCAAATTGTGATTCCATGTGAGGTGTAAAAAAATAAGCGATAATGGTAAGAAATAGTAGCAGAGAATCAGAGATAAGTGCAAGGGATCTTGGTACACTAATTGTCATGATCATTGACACTGAGAAGAGAGTATTGAAGCTTAGTTTTTGTGGAAGAGAGTGCTTGAAGTCTTTTAAGCAAAAAGCTGACGTGAGTATTGACTAATGAAGTTAATGTGCATGTAAGAGAAAGGTCATCGGTGATGGTGAAGATGACAAACAAAGGTTGGTTGAGAAGAATGAGAACACCTGTTTCTTCATTTGAACCTCCTGGTATTGTGCAGGCCGCGGCAAAGGCAACAGTGGCAATGAGAACAGCAACAATGGAACAATTTTCTGATGTACGCTTTAGCCATTCTTTGGCCTCCTTGTGAAGTTTTTCACTCTTCAGAGCAAATAGTTCTTCGCCAGTTTGACCTTTTGCGTTGATATGGTTGAAGAAATGCTCTGAGCAGATTTTTTTTATTCTCTGCATGCATCCAAACAGAAATTGCGTCAAGGCATTGCTCCTAATTTTGCAACTCAAGCTTAATTAAATATAAATATATATTATGATCGTGTGACCCTCTTATATTAAAGCAAGACAAGGTGCTTCACTATTTTGGATCATGGTCTCTAGCATCATAAAAAAATACAACAGAAACCACAGCCATTAATCTTTTGAAGTTTTTGTATCAATACCGCCTTTTGGTGCAATGATAAAAGTTTAGACTGACTATTACTATATATCACAATACATGTATAGGACGTGTACACATAATAACAAATTAATACTATGTATGTATATAGTATTTTTATCCTAACATCTCTCTTAAACAAAAGTAACACTACATAATGTTATGAATAAGTATGAATATTATCTAATAAGGAGGGAAGAATTGTTCTTTGCGCAATATCAAGGAATGGAACTATAGAAATGAATATATATATACCTCATACAAGAGCAGATCCTCTTGCAATTGCATAACAGAATTTTGTTTTGTCTCTTCAATTTATGAAATTTTCTATTATCTCCAACCATATTCCGAATGCTCTGTTCAACAGCATATTCTCTCTTCTCTCCAACCATGTGCAGAATGGAATTCCAATCTTTGTCTGTCTTGTGTCAGCTTCCTAATTGGAGTTCTCATTTTCTCCACCTTATCAAAGATCTCTAATTGGCGGTACATGATGGCTATATGTAAAATGGTGCACCCATTGACATCAACATGCTTAACCGACTGAGGGTACAAGTCGAGTATTTTGTCAACAATGTCCACACAACCTGCCTTAGTTGCCAAGAACAATGGTGTTTCCGGATTGTTTCTTGGGGTTACTTTCTGCACGTTCTTTACCTCTTCAAGATTGGAAACTGTGGATGGCCCTCCTCCATCTTTTTCCTGAACTATTATTTCCGGTAGCTCTTGGCAAGACTCTTCTACAGGCCTAGTGTCCTTCCATGAAATATTGACTTTTTCAACTAAGAAGTTGGCAAGTTTTGAAGCCAATTCATATTTTACATTTTCTTTGAGAAATGCTTTCCACAAAGGAACTCACCGAAATGCCCAGAAATAACAGCCATGTGAAGCATAGTGCTTTGATGATTTTTATACTCCTCCTAATAAAATGCCCTGCGATCTGCTTCACTTTCAATATCTTCATTGACTTCTTATAGAGAAATGCAAACATCTCAAGTCTGCCATAACGGAAGGCGCGAAGAAGGCTGTAATATGTTCTTCATAACACGTCCATCTGATCTAGTGAAATTGCTCGCTTAAGCATTAAAAATTGGACAAACTTAACCAAAGGTGCCTAACTAATACTTACAAAACACTGATCATGCTTCAGAAACAATTAATAATGTTATTATTTGTGACATATAATGGAGACACCAAAAAAACAAAGTCCATTATTCAGAAATCCCATTTAGGAGTTCTGAACTTCCATAACTGGAACTGCCACGGACACCGTAACAGGGGTTGCAACATCAACAATGTTAAAAACTAAGTTTACACGAGGACAACAATATATATGATTACAGAGAATGAAATGGATTTCTGTTAATAAATATGTGGTTATCAATATTAGGATTTTCTTGTTCACCTGTATCTACTATACTAAAAAACATCATGATGTGCATAACGTCTCAGAAGAAAAAAACATGGCCACCATATTTATTTGTGTTGGAAGTTATAAAAATATCATCCACGGTTAAATCGTAGTCTGTATTGGATTCTTAATTGTAAATGTGTGTCAAAGCAAGTGCCAATTTTAAATAAGGAACAGAATTCAGTACCAAGCTTACAACATAAGGCAAATTCATTTTTTCAGTGTCAATGTTTATAACAAGCTTTACACAAAATACAAACATGGCTAAGAAGATTAGCATCCAAAACCATGATTATTGGAAAACAGGATATGTGATACAACTGTTGGAATGGAATGGAATGTGATCCCTTAAAATTTGAGAATCAGCGTGCAAATTAAGGTCACATTCATTCAACTTTATGGTGGCTTCCTGCTGTGTTTGTGTGTGTGCGTGTGTGTTCATACTACCATAAGACATTCTTGTTCTTAGAAACCCTTCCAGGTTTAGAGATTCTGATTAAGAAATCAATTGTTAAAATAAGTGAAAACTTCGACTAAAAAATTTCCTAAAATTCTATAAAATCTGATTAGCAGAGCAGTAGATAGAATAAAATTTCAAATATCAAGATTTCAAGTAGGTATCAGAGGATAAATAAGAGAATATCAATAAATGAACATTAATATAAAATATATTCAAATAGGAGAAGAACATAGCTGTGGATAACACCTTTGTATCTTGATGTTATTTCAGAATATTGTGTTGTTTTCTGCAATTCCTCTTTTTGCCTTTTCCCATAAATTCCTCTTCTTGTTCTTCGGACATTTTTAGGGTCTCGCCTGGTGGAGACTAGATAGCATTTTTATCTTACCACTCTCTGTGGGACTCTTTCAAAATTTCTAACACCCTTTTGACCTTTACTAGAATTTTTATCTTATCACTCTCTATGCTACTCTTTTAAAATTTCAACTCCTTTTTGACCTTTATTAAAATTCTAATTAATTAATATTTTCTTGCACATTCTCCCTTAAATTAAAATTTGACAAAAATAAAATAAAATAATCTACGTTTTTATTTTGATATTTTAGTTTTCCACTAAAGTTTTTTTATTTATTTTTTTTATTTATTTATTTTTTTGATATTTTAGCATTAAAGAACAACAAAGTAATTTCCAAAATGCTGCTGTTTACTCAGATAATGTCTCGAATGTATACTGAGGAGGCCTAAAGTGAGATGGGCCGGATATGACCTGCAAACACGACATCCGGTCCGTACAGATGGGTCAAGCCCATAGAAAGACACTGCCATATGGGCCGAACGCGAATAGCCCATGAAAGATGACCAAAACTCATAGAGGAACGGGCCTAGATCCAGCAGTCCATCAACATTTGTAAGTATCTATAAATAGGAAAAGTGATGGATGGAGAATGGGAGATATTTTTTGGTTGAAATGTAAGAATTCTAGAGAGAGAAAGAAAGGAGGAATTTCTTGCATCTTCAATTGGCGCCGTCTGTGGGAAGTCGTTGAAGATTGATTGATCATTGATCAATATCGCGTGGATACAGACCAATTCGTGGGAACGAAACTCGATCTTTGGGAGTTGGATCCAGATCTGAGCGATTGTGACCTACTCTGGAGGAATTTTAGTTCATGTTGCTTTGGCAGAAGTGGCTTCAGATCTACGCAACAACGAGTTGTTCGATTGTGGCAGGATTTGACGGATTTAGAATTCGGACAATTCAGATCTCGTCAACCGTGAACATAATTCAGAGAATTCGAAACCAGATCTGAAAAATTCCCACTCACGAAGCTCAGATCTATTCGCGAACTTGAGATTAATGTCTTTACTCTGTTCAGGAATAATGATAGGTGAAAGCTCCAATCCGATGGAGGCTGTCCAGCAAACGAAGCTTGAGGAGTTGATGAACTTGATCGAGGCTCTCAAAAAAGAGAATGCAGAATTGAAAGCTGGAATGCAACATCAGCAAATACCCGCGGTTTCGCGTCCACTTCCGGCCGGTGAAGGAGGTGTTCAATCTAATATCGCGCATCAAGGCGAGCAGGACGAGAACAATCAGTCAGCTCTCCACCGTGATGAAAGGAGGATGGATGATTTGCCGCCAAATGCTCTTCGAGTTGAGGATCACGAAGGATCGACTCACGTTAATCCGCGACATGAGCAGATCAGACAGAACGAAGCCACGACCTTCGATCCGCATCGGGAAAGGTTCAACCGAGAGGAAGTGATAGAGGTTGATCGCCGCCAAGTTGTGTCTCCTTGGCAAAGAGAACTCATAAAGGAACGGTCGTTCGATCCGTCTTACCGGCCCTCCATGGCTACAATCACTCATTGCGGTTCGGAGAGCAGAACCGTAGCTCACAGAGCTACCACTGGGTGCCAAAGAGAGAATGAAGCACTCCGATCCGCGGCTCGGACGGTTGATTCACCATTCACTGACGAGATCCTGAATGCCCCGCATCCAAGGAAGTTTGCTATGCCAGTCTTTATTCTGTTTGACGGAACAACCGATCCGATCGATCATGTGTACCATATCCAGTTGAAGATGGCCCTGAATACGGAAAACGACGCTTTAATGTGCAAATGTTTCCCTACAAGCCTAGCTAGACCGGCGCTCAGCTGGTTCAAGAACTTGCCTAGGAGCTCCATTGGTAGCTTCCGAAACCTGTGCGATTGGTTCATAAGCCAGTACTATGGGAACAAGCGTCCGCCGAAGGACATCTCGAGCCTATTCACAATGAGACAGCACAAAGATGAACGTCTCCAAGTTTTTCTCACCAGGTCTAATCTCACTAAGAGTATGGTGATCGAATGCCACCCCTCTACAGCGGTTCAAGCCTTCAAGTTAGCCATGACATGTGGCACTCCGTTCCATACTAGTCTGGTAGTGAACACGCCGACGACTATGGATGAACTCAATGAAAGAGCCGATGGCTTTGTGCGCCTAGAAGAAGAGGAGGCAGCCAATGCTCGGACAGCGTCGCTCGTGTCGACCGAGGAAAAGTCCAAGGCAAAGATCAGGCAGAAGCAGGCTCAACCGCAACGTCAGACCTCCTGGAAGGCAGAAAAGAGGTCCAGGGAGGAAGAGCTGATCACTTCGCTGAAGGTCACTCTGGCGAGGCTATATCAGGAGAACAAAGATAAGTTTCATCCACCACTGACAATTAGGCAACCCCTCGAACAGAGGGATCAGACTAAACATTGTGCTTTCCATTCCGATTTCGGTCATCAGACTAACGAATGCAGGAATTTGAGAAGGCAAGTGGAGATGTTGATAGCTAGATGTTGAGAAGGCTTGGCGACAGAGCAGAATCGACCGATGGAACAAATAAAAAGGAGTCATAAACAAAGCTCCCACAATTCACAACCAGTTCGGATAATCAATGCTATCCACGGTCGACCCGAGCCCAGCGAAGATTCAGATGAGCTACTCCGAGCGCGCCTACGGCAGGCGCAGATGAAGAAAAGGGTCAGCAGTGTGAATACTCTACACCAGCAGATCACATCGATACAGATAAAGTTCGACAGGACAGACCTGCAGCGTGTTCAAATCCCCCATGAAGACCCGTTGGTAGTCAGTTTGACAGTGGCGGACTGCCTGGTGCGCAGAGTCCTGATCGATCCCGGGAGCAGTGCGAATGTCATGCCGAGGGATACATTTGATCGGCTCGAGATTAAACCAGAGAGGCTCAAGCCCACGGGAAATCCCCTGTTAGGATTCGATGGCAAGAGGGTGGAGCCTGTCGGAATGGTGGAAGTAGAAGTTCAAGCTGCAGAACGAGCTCTTATGGAAACTTTTGTGGTTGTGGAGATTCACCCCTCGTACAATCTCCTGATGGGAAGAGGATGGATTCACAGAGTCCAAGATGTACCCTTAACTCTGCATCAGCTCATGAGGTGCCTCGGACCCGATGGAAATAAGGTAATAGATATTTGTGGGGATCAGGTTGCAGCCAAAGAGTGTTATTCCGTCACACTAAAGTATGCTGGGAAAGGGAAGGCGCCCGTCCGATCGGCGAGCCCCAAATAGCAATTACAGGAACCTCCGCCCAAGCAGAACAGGGTGGAGGAGTCAGTTGACTCGACCGAGGAGCCCTTTCTGGATGTGCAGATCGATCAGTCCAGGCCAGAACGAACTACCAGAGTAGGAGTAAGACTGACCAGGGAAGAGCAGCAAGAGCTAGTTGACTTCTTGTCTCACAATGCCGATGTATTTGCATGGAGTCACCTAGACATGCCTGGAATTAATCCCTCCGTATCCTGTCATTCTTTGAATGTCAATCCCAATTTCAAACCAGTAAAACAGAAGCAACGAAGATTTGCTCTAGAACGCAACCAAATCATAGCCGAGGAAGTTGATAGGCTGCTTGATGCGGGATTCATCAGAGAAGTACACTACCCTGATTGGTTGTCCAACGTCGTTGTCGTGCAGAAGAAGAATGGGAAATGGCGAGTATGCATTGATTTCACCAATTTGAACAAAGCCTGTCCAAAGGATAGCTTCCCGCTGCCAAAGATTGATCAAATGGTGGATGCCACCACCGGGTATGAGCCTTTAACCTTTCTGGACGCTTATTCAGGTTATAATCAAATCCCTATGGACCCGACAGATGAAGAAAAAACTTCTTTTGTAACCGAGCGAGGGACATACTGTTACAAAGTTATGCCTTTCGGACTAAAGAACGCGGGAGCAACTTATCAAAGACTTGTTAGCAAAATTTTCAAGGATCAAATAGGAAAGATTGTGGAAGCCTATATTGATGATATGGTGGTAAAGAGTAGGAAGAAGGATGATCATTTGAAACATCTGCAAGATGTATTTGATGTGCTGAGGCGATATGGGATGAGGCTCAATCCAACCAAGTGCTCGTTCGGTGTGAGTTCCGGTCAGTTTTTGGGACACGTGGTCAACCGCAGAGGCATCGAAGTTAGCCCTGCTCAAGCAGAGGCTTTGATTAAGAATGCCGAGCCAAAGACGATCAGAGAGGTGCAAGCCCTCACAGGACGAATAGCTGCATTAAGTCGATTCATTTATAAGTTGTCAGATCGCTGCAAGCCGTTCTTTGACACGATTCGGAGTCATGGAAGATAGGTCTGGGGAGATGAGCAACGACAAGCATTGACCCATTTGAAGGAATATATGCAGAATCCACCAGTCCTGTCAGCCCCGGATCCAGAAGAAAAGTTATTTCTATATCTTGGAGTATCTAGTGTTGCGACAAGTGCCGTTCTGATTCGTTGCAAGGAAGGGGTGCAACACCCGGTATTTTATGTCAGTAAAACAATGACCGCGACAGAACGAAGATACTCGAAGGCCGAACGGGTGATACTTTCACTTGTAAACGCAAAAAGAAAGTTGAGGCATTATTTCGAATCCCACCCTATAGCTGTTCTAACAACTTTTCCAATCAGAGTGCTTATGCACAAGCCAGAACTCTCAGGCAGAATGACAAAGTGGGCCATAGAGTTAAGTTCATTTGACATAACGTATGAACCGAGAACAGCTGTCAAAGGACAAGCGGTAGCCGATTTCCTGCTAGAATGTGACTCTGAGGATACAGAAGAAGACCTTAGGTGCGGCTCTTGGAAACTTTATGTGGATGGCTCCTCTAACCAGATGGGGGCTGGAATTGGGGTTAAACTGCAAACCCCAGAGGGTACTTCTTTGAGTCAAGCACTCAGACTTGAGTTCCGAGCCACCAA